ATTGGTACCTTATGCGTTGTGTTCTTTCAGTTAACTGTATGTTATGTACGTGAAATCTTTTTTTCCATTCCTTAACGTTAGTTATTAAAAAAATATATTATAATGAGTAATATATAGAGTGCAACCCCAATGTAAAGTGTGCCTGTGGCCATGAATAAGGCAATATGCAGTTCATGGCAAAGTGCTGACACGACATTTCGTCCACGATGGACTTTATTTAAAGTTCCTTGGTGGACGGAGCGTCTGTTCAGAAAAGCATCGTAAGCTGTATACTGTGTCATTCACTTTCTTGTCGGTATATTTTACCACTAACGTAATTCTATTCGGTATATAATACCACTAACGTAAATTTTGTCGGTATATTATACCACTAACGTAAATCTTGTCGGTATATTATACCACTAACGTAAATCTTGTCGGTATATTATACCACTAACGTAATTCTTGTCGGTATATTCTACCACTAACGTAATTCTTGTCGGTATATTCTACCACTAACGTAATTCTTGTCGGTATATTCTACCACTAACGTAATTCTTGTCGGTATATTCTACCACTAACGTAATTCTTGTCGGTATATAATATCACTAACGTATATTCCGTGCATGTATCACATTCAGACATATTATGTTGACTCCTGACAGTTACACTCTTCAAGTTACCTCTAGTTTATAAACAGCGCATTGCCGATAAAAATGAAATGATAAACGTTGCAGGAAACGTTTATTGCACCATCGTTTGGCTCTATGCAGAGCTTTATCATGTCTTGACGTTAGAAGGTTCCATTCAAAGCGGAAATGTTCTAGAAAATTATTTGTTCTACAACGTCTGTTTTCTTCAGTTACATCTTGATTTGATAGCTACCGCGGTTCAGTCCTTAAAGAAATCTACTTGATAGCTGATTGTATACATTTTTGAATGGGTGGACCTGTAAGCCAGCGAAAGGCTTCGGTCAGATGACCAACGCTCCAGTTGCGGGTCATCATATGACTACGATCCACGTTAGGAAACACTTGTCCTGTTCTCTGACGAGTCTCACATAACCTAACCTTATAGCCGAGTGTAAATACTCCTTACATATTCTGGCTCTGCTCTTAGTGTTATTATATTACCTAGATCTTAACCATTTGTTTTTTCATAATTATGTTTTCTTAATTGGTCAATTAAATTAGATTATTACAAGACTCATCTTTCATATATCCTGAAGGATGTCAAAAGTTTGTGTAAAAGGGCACAGGGCTTTACATTATTTTTATTTTTAGAGTAAACCAGAAACTATCTGATCGCTAAACCTCGTCAGGAGACGCGTCATGACGAGCAATAAGCGCCATTAACCTGTGATTATTCTTAAACCACACTTGTCATCACCATCGCATACTGAGTCGGTTATATGAGCAAAATATTGCAGTTTTTTCTTTCTTTTACCCATTCTTCCTTCTCTCTTTCTCTTTCTCTTGACGCACTGCGCCTTCTTGGCCTTGTTTGTGTGGCGTTATCAGCTTTATTTATTCGACTGATAATGTCTAAGGGATATGGAATTATGTGAATATATTCTGGAATATCTGCTTTAAAAGATCTAGCAATTTAATATGAAATAAAAGTAATAGGACACAAGGCGCTTCCTACCAAGAATGAAATACATTCCCCATCGTTCATTCAAATGCTGTTTCACCAGAGGTGTGTAGTCATCACAATTGAAATGGTCCTGCGAGCCACAACATACCCATGCATACTGCAGTGTGCAGGAGGCGCTGCACTACCAACGTCCAGAACTCAAGCCGTAGACTACCCCGTTACCCTGAGTCCCTTCATTAATGTTGCCTTGCTCACACTACAATAGCAATTCCATTACACTAGTAATATTTTACACGCCTTAATGGTCCACCCGGATCTCCGCATTAACAAGTAAATTTGTTCATTCGTTTCGCTAATTTATAGAAAGCAAATAAGTTTTACCATGTTTTATAATCAAGGTTTAATTTGTTTTATTTCACCACTAAGAAGATTACCATTGAACTCTTTCTTTTAAACCACACGTGGTTTAAAAGAAAGATCTTTTAAACCACACGTGGTCTGAGAAGATTACCATTGAACTCTTTCTCTTAAACCACACGTGGTCTGAGAAGATTACCACTGAACTCTTTCTTTTAAACCACACGTGGCTTAAAAAAAAGATGTTTTAAACCACACGTGGTCTGAGAAGATTACCATTGAACTCTTTCTCTTAAACCACACGTGGTCTGAGAAGATTACCACTGAACTCTTTCTTTTCAACCACACGTGGACTCAATGAACATTTGAGAATGTGCGTCTTCGCACTTAGTAAATGTACAAACTCTTATTAACACAAATAACCCGCACATAGAAGAATGAAACTTATGATGACGTTTGGGTCCTACTTGAACCATTTATAGTCACACGACTCATATTAAGTTTTATCAGGTACATATATTTTGGGGGGAAAAATTGTAACTTAATGGCATGCAATAATTAACAACTTGGGTATACTGGAGGGACGACCACTGCTGCTGCAGAATGCCAAAGATAATAACTTATTCAAAAAATAATTTATATTGCCTATTTTTCTTTTAAATTTCATGAAGTTCGTTGATTTACATGTGACAAATATCACAAATTATACTCCTCTGTACACGCACTCATTTATTTTAATACAGAGAATATTTTAGCATGATTCATCCCCCACAGATAAAACTCAAAAACTCTTCGGAGATGGGGAGGAGAGTAAAACCTACAAAACAGGAAAACGAGGCTCCACCTGTACTTTTCAAACGTTCTTTCTGAATTTCAGTAACCAAACGGTTATCTCATGACTTTATTCAAAAAGAACTAAGCAGGTTAAACCCAACTAAGAGCACTGGCCCTGATAACATCCCGTCTAAGTTCCTAAAAGATGGTGCTTCTGAACTGTCAATCCCTATTGCTCACATAATAAATCTATCAATCACCACTAATACCGTACCGGAGGGGTTCAAGGAGGCCAGAGTTACTCCTATCTTCAAGAAAAATAGTAGGTCTGATGTCAGCAACTATAGGCATGTTAGTATACTCAGTATAATATCTAAAATTCTAGAGAGGGCGGTGTATTCTCAAGTAGTTAAGTACCTTAATGACAACAGCATTCTCCATAGCTATCAATCGGGCTTTAGAAGATTCTACTCAACCGACACCTCCCTTATTAATCTGATGGATTACCTGAGAACTGAAATGTCAAAGGGGAACCTCATAGGTATGGTAACCTTAGACCTGCAAAAGGCCTTCGATACTGTCAACCACAATATATTATGTAAGAAACTTCAAGCTATCGGTATAGGTTCTGTAGACTGGTTTAAGTCCTACCTTAGCAACAGGAGACAAATAGTCAAAATCAACAAAACGGAATCAGAACCCCTGCCGATAACATGTGGAGTTCCCCAAGGTAGTATTCTGGGTCCTTTATTATTCTTATGTTATGTCAATGATATGCCTATCAGTGTCAAGTGCAAACTCCTACTGTATGCAGATGACAGTGCTCTGTTAGTGACAGGTAAAGACTCACACGATATTGCTAATGTTTTAACACTCGAACTGGAGTCCTGCAGCAAATAGTTAGTAGACAACAAACTATCATTACACCTAGGGAAAACTGAAGTCATTCTCTTTGGCACGAAACATAAACTGAGAAGGGTAAATAATTTTAATGTTCAGTGTAATGGGGAGCCCATCACTTTGGTTTCATCAGTAAAATATCTGGGAATCCCCTTTGACCCATGCATGTCAGGAGAATTGATAGGGAACAGTGTAGTAAAGAAAACGAATGCCAGACAGAAGTTCCTGTATAGACAAACACAGTGTTTACCTACTGAGGCTCGCAGGACCCTATGTCTAGCCCTTATACAATGCCATATGGATTACGCTTGCTCTTCATGGTACTCTGCCTTGACAAAAAAAACTGAAAGATAGACTGCAAATCACCAGAACAAAATCGTAAGATTCATCCTGGGCTGGGACCAAGAGAACATGTAGGCCAGGATGAATTACAGCAGTTGGATATGCTGAATGTTGAAGACAGAGTAAAACAACTGAAGCTAAATCATGTTTATAAAATTGCTCACAAACAATGTCCAGAATATCTTGCTGTCAATTTTGTCAAGGTTGGGAACCAAAGCAATCATAGTACCAGGGGGAGAGAGCACAACTTTGTAGTACACACAGTCAGTGGCCAGGCTTCAAACACCTTTTATTGTACAGCAATAAAGGAATGGAACAGACTGCCCGCACATGTCAAAGCCAGTCATAGCATGAACCAGTTCAAGAAGAGTGCCAAAAGGTGTCTGATGAATGTAGCTACAGAAAGGGATGGGAATGATTTTCTATTTTTTAGCTAACATACGTGTAAATTTTACCTTATTCCTAGTAATGACCCTCGTATTGTAGATAGTCATAATGACCCTCGTGTAGTAGATAGTCTTTTTAGTATGATAATAAGATGTTATCTTCATTGTAGAATAATAAGAAAATATTATAACCTTTATATTATAATAATAAGGTAAAAGGACCCCAATGAAAATAAGTCACTTTGTCTGACTTTTTTGGTTATCCCAGGTTCTCTACACATATGCTGCTATGTATGATAATTCTATGTAACTGTATTTGTGTATACCTGAATAAACTTACTTACTTACTTACTTATAACTGACAATAATTTTTAAAGGGGTGGACCGGTAAGCCAGCGGAAGGTCTCGGTCAAATGATTAAAAGCTCCAACGGCGGGCCATCAGCTAAGACCCGCGTCAGGAAACACTTGTCCTGTTTCTTGACAAACCTTACTTAACCTAACCTGAATTTCAAGTGTGCAATTTTCCCCCCATTTACATACGTTTGTGTTGGTCATGTTCTCCGCTTGTGGGGTGGGCGGTGTCTTAACAAGCTACGTAGCGTTAATATATGCTCCGGCATCTTTATAGTTCCTCCTCGTCCTGACCGTAATGTTTCTCTCTGCT